TTCTGTTTTTTTTAATTAAGATATAATTTACAGTGTGTATAACTCAGCAGTTTCTCCTATGTCCACTAGATTGTGTAACAGTCACCACTATTAATCCCAACAGTTTTATCAGTTCAAACAGAAACTCTATTATCCCTATTATCCCATTTCTCCGACTCCTGGAAACCATTTACTGTCTGTCTCCATGGATTGCCTATTCCATTTCTTATAAATAAAACTGTATAATATGTGGCCTTTCTGCTTGATTTATTTCACCCAGCATAATGTTGTCAAGGTTCTACCACGTTATAGAATACAGGTCTATCTTCCTTTTCATGGCAGAATAATTTCCATTGTATGGAAGTATTGCATTCACCAATTGATAGAGATTTGGGGGTTACTACTTTTTGTTATTACAAGCATTGAGTACAAGTTTTTGTGTAAGCAAAACATTTCCCATTCTCTTGAGTATCTATACTTAGGAGTAAAATTGCTGAGTCCTAACATTTCATAAAATGAAATTGCTTTAGTTATGTTTAACTGCCAAATTATGATTTGACTTTCAAATGAGCTTCTTCCAAACTAAGGGAGAAAGTATATAGATTCTCAACTGTTATCTTCTCTGCCCAGATTCTGGAAAGCTAGCTAAAAAGCTCCAACTGTCCCTAATTGTTTATCAATCCAAAGTATTTTCATTTTGCCCACTGCCTTACTACCATCACCACCAATACACACACACACATACATTGCCTCAAACTTAAAAACAAATCATACACACACATACATACAATCTAGTTTACACTCTAAGTTGCTCAGTAAATGGCTGTTTTCTTGGCCAAGGGCTCTAGACCTGACCCCGGGGATCCTTCACAAAGTGGCAATAAGTGGAAGAGCGATTGCAAAGGCTCTGTTCTAACAACACACACAAAGGGCCTTTAAAAATCCTACTGAGAAATAAGGAAATTATATTTCTGCCAAGCTGCTGAAAGGTCATGCCTCAGAAGCCACTCCGAGGAACCATGTGGGTTCTGATTAAAGCAAGGACATCATCCGGAGATTGCTTCACAGAGTTCATAACAGCACTCACAGCTTCTACGCTGTCACTCCTTGCTATCAAGGGTGAATTTCAACACATGGCTTTGACTGCCTTACTTCCTGAATGTCTGATGAAGCTAGAAGCATCTTAAGTCTCCTCTTTCTACCCAGAGGAGGGAGCAAGGTGGGTGGACTCCCTAAAGGGATACTAGGGACCAGCAAGAGTGTGGGCTTGCCATCACCAGCCCCCTAGGAAACATGTTCTATGTAATCCACAAAGGCCGTTCTCTGAAGTGCACTCAAAGTCTGAAAAGGGACTGTCTCCTTTTGCTACCAGGCAAAAGGCAGCACTTGGGTGTTGCATATATTCCTGGCTCAAGCCCCAGAAATCCTCCTTGGGGTCAGTCCTTTTTTTTTTTTTTGGTCCCCTTAACCACTCTAGGATCTCTGGTGGCCTAAGCAGTAAGGAGGTGCGCTGCCACCCCAAAGCCACACAGTTCAAATTCACCTGCTGTTCTGTGGCAGGGAAATGGGCAATCAACTCTTGTGCAATTTCCTAGGAAGCCTCTGAAAGACCACCGGAGGGTCAGCTGTGAGTCAGTTCCAACCCTAAAGTCAGTACATGACCATGGCAACAACAACAACATTCCTAGGGTACCCTGGTGAGTTAGTCATAGCACATGGGACAACCCACAGGCTGGGTGTCTCCTGTGGCTGTAACTATCAGCTGCTTTATGAGTGAAAGTCTCCTCCCAATCCGATTCCCAGGCACAGAAGCCTGATGAAGGCTTGCTATCAGGCACCACTGACTCCAGGCAGTGAGGTTTGGGATTTAACACCCCTACATCTGCACCTGGATTCTAGCTTCTTCACGTCTCCACCACACAACACAACCAGCACAGCTCCATCACTAAACCACTGGTAGTCCTCAACAAGTCCCAGGTCTCCTCTGAAGTGGATCTACAATCCATCAGGCAACTACTCTTCTGGGGTGCTGGAGGAGAGTGGTGGGGTCTAAGAGCATGGGGCTGCCTCCACCCTTCTTCCCCCATCTCACTTCACACACCAGAAGCTAAATCTACATTGACTCTTCTACATAGTGGCCTTTTTTCAACAAAGCGTGCAGAGAGAATCCCAAAACCTTCTCTCGGCCCAGCACCAGACGTCGCCCAGGATCGTCCAGCTGTCCTCTCATTCACCCAGTAAAGTTAAACTCAGACAGAGTCAAAGAAATGGGGAGGAGAAGCGGCTTTGCCGGACTGAGTGTGAGCGCCCAACATCACCCAAGAAAGGCAGTCCACGGCAACTCACGTGCTGGTTGGTATTCACCTCACGCTTATCAATCAATCAATTCGACCACAGGTCTTTACCCCCACGTGACCCAGGGACTCTGTGGAGGAGAGGAATGCAGCTCCTCCCTGCACCCCAACTATTTTCTGCCTAGAGACCTCTCCTCACCCCAATTCCTGCGTGCAGGGGCAGGGGCAAGTCCTCCCCCGCGGCGACTTCGGGGTGCGCGCAGAAGGGGTCACGCCCGCCGTGCCTCCCCTGCCCCCAGCCTCTCACACCATCTTACTTGGGAAGAATGAGTGGAGATTTCGGGGGACGAGCGAGGAAGGCTGAGCGTCCGCGGGCAGCTTCGGAGCGAGGGAAGCCCCGATGGCGGCTGAGCCAGGCGGAGGGTGGTTCCAGGGGGAAAGTGGGCGGTGCAAGCGGCCGAGCTCCGCGTCCTAGGCGACCCACCGCCCCCGGACCACTCGCCTGTGCGTCACCTTCCGAGTGACCCCTGGCGTCGATCCAGCCCTGCCCACTTCCTTCGCGCCCCTGCTTTCGGTTCGGTTCGTGGCCGTGACTCAGCAACGCCGCTGCCCGGCCCCTGTGCGCCACCGCCGCCGGCCCCCTGGGAAATGCAGCCCGCGCGGTGCTCCGAGCGAGCGGATCGTGCAAGCCGACCTTGACCGTGACCACAGCCCTGCCTGCGTTAAGGGACTTCTTGCCTGACTTTCTGGGAAACACCTTCGGGCTGGCGGACCCTTAGGGCGCCAGGCTCTCCCGCGGATCGCCTGTGATCCGAGGGGAGGTTGCCCAATTCACTGAGCCCCTACTTTATACCCGACGCTGTACTAGACACTGGCAGATAATACAGAGAAACCAAGACATGGCTTTTGCTTTCATGAACATGATAACCCGAGGAAAAATATTAAAAGAACTAACAGCGTAACAAATAGGAGCGGGGCTGGGCAAGATCATCAGATGGGATGCGAAGAACTGGTGCAAAGAACACATGCAAAAGGCCTTTCCATAGATAAGGGGAGCTCTGGGGAGCTGGAGGGAACAGCCCTCTGGGCACAAAGAGATCCACAGGCCGAAGAGAACTAGGTGGAGCACTTCCTCTAGGTGCCCTGGGCACAAGGGAGCTGGAGGCCAGCAGGATTGCACACCTATTAGCCAGGGGAAGATGGGAGAATTTATATCAGTTGATAAGATACCATGGCAGATGTTAAACAGGTCTGAGTTATGTTTTGTGATGAAAGATGCGGGAGTGATGAGGGCACCAGGGTGAATTTGTGGAGACAGAAGAGTGCGGTCCTCGGGTGGTTTAACAGTTTTTAGTCCACCCAGAGGCACCTTGAATAAAAGGCCTGGCAATTTACTTCTGAAAGAATGACCACTGAAAACCCTATGGGACACAGTTCTGCGCTGACACCCCATAATGTTACCATGAATTGGAGTCAGCCCCATACCACTGATCTGGATTGGCTTTGGTCCAGAGGGTAAAAATAGGGAACCTGTCTCTGGAAAGAAAAGGACTGGGGCCCTGCTATGCTCTGGAAGTTGTTGTTCGATGCCTTCAACTCAACTTTGTCTTAGAGCGAGCCTACAAACAATGGATCTGAGCCCTGGTCTATCCAGAGACAACCTCATCATTACTAATTAAGACCTTCATCTATTTAAGGGTCTCCCGTCTTGGAGCTAGTACATAGATGAAACTGCCAGGGTTCAAGCTGAGTTCAGAAGACACTGTGCAACAGGGATATCATTGTTAATATCAGATGGATCCTGAGTGAACTCAAAGAATACTAGAAAAGTGTCTATTTGTGCTTTATCGACTATGCAAACGTCTTTGAGTATGTGGATCATAACAAATCAGGGCTAACATTGAGAAGAATGGGAATCACAAAACAATTATGCTTATATGAAACCCAGACCTAGGCCAAAAGGCTGTTGTGTGTGAAAACAAGAGCAAAGGAATACTTGCTGTTTTGTGCCATCAAGTTGCCTGTGATTCATAGTGACCCTATGCATGTCCTGAGCCAGTCTCGCTGTCTTCAACACACCTACTCCCATTACGCCAGTTACTGTGTGAATACTTCCCATCCAGGGTCTTCCTCTCCTGAGCTGTCTCTCCACTTTTCTAAGCATGAAGTCCTACTCCAGGAACTAGTTCCTCCTGGCCACATGCCCAAAGTATGTAATAGAGCCTCTAAATTCTTGCCTCCAAGGAACAGCCTAGTTTCACTCTCTCCAGGATAAACCTGTTTGTTCTCTTGGCAGGTTATGGTATGTTCAATACTCTTCTTTCGCACCACAACTCAAAGGCATCAATTCTTCTGTCATCCTTAGTTGTTGTCCATCCAGCTCTCTAATGTGTAGCAAATAATTGCGAAGACTATGGTCTGAATCAGGCATACCTTAGTCTCCAGACTGACATCATTGTTTTTCAGCATTCTTTATATGTGTATATTTTTATATTAAGGTATAGAAAATAAATCAGCCCCTATACTGGACCTTATTCAGTGGCAACTTCTAGTTCCATAGGGTTAAGGAAGACATTGAGCAAATAAAAGTGTTTGGAAAAGTCCACGTGTAGTTGCTTTGTATGTTGTGATGGGCAGAAGGGATGAAATGAAGTGTGAAAGCTCCTCAAACCCTCCATCTTGCCTCAGACTATGTCCTGGAACCCTGGGGCGGGGAAAGCACCACTCTCATTTTTGCTTCTTGGGATTGTTGACGGCCAGGTGGTGGTAAAGAACGACAAGCAGGAAGAGCAACATGCCCAGCATGTTGGCATAGATGGCGAGGGTCACGTCCCTGCTCATTCTGACCTGCTGGGCTCCACTGCGACACTTGTCACAGGCGAGCTCCAGGCAGGAGACAGCTCTTCAGCACTTTTCAGAGGTCCCTGGCAGCAGCAATTTATTTTTTGATTTCTCAACTGCTAGTGCCAACAGTGTTGTTTGTGGAGCTGAGTAAGCTAAGATTGTTAATAATCTCAATCTCTTCTCCATCTATCATGGTGCTGCCAATTGTCTTCTTGATGTTGAGCTCCAATCCATGTTAAAAACAGAAGTAAATGCTTCAGGTCCTCCTCAGTTTCTGTGAGCAAAATTGTGTCTGTCATCTGTACAATGCAAGTTGTTGATGAGTCTTTCTCCAATCCTGATGCCACTTTCCTCCTCATAAAGTCCAGCCTCTCTCAGAACAAAATATTACTTGTTCTGCATACAGATTGGAAAAGTGTGGAGATATATCTCTGATGTACTCCTTTCCTGATTTAGTGGGTTTTTTTACAGTTTTTTTAAATTATTATATTTATGAAGCACAAAAGGAAACACAATTGCGTGTGCTGTAAGTGATACAGATACTTCTTGTTAAGTGCTATCTAATCGGTGGAAAAAAACTTGGGGGAAGAATCAAAGATTCTGGTTCTATACAATCACTGCCAAAAAGGCTTTAAAAGGTAAAGAAATCTCAGGTTTAGAGATGACTGGTAAACAGATTCCTTTAAAAAAATATTTTCTACTAGTTTATTTACAAAATTCAAATGCATGGTTTTCAAGAACAGATTCTTTCAATTTCCTTCACCACCCCTACTTATGAAATTGTACAACCTAATGGTTAATCCCCACTCCCCCTGCACATCCACATCACTCTGCTTCCAACCTCTCCAACCCTCTTGAATCCTTATACTCATTCTACAATAATGGTTTTATACAATATTTATCTTTGTGGGACTAAGTTAGTTCACTCACCATAATGCTTTCCAGTCCCTCCCACATTAGGTAATAATTTACAAAATCATTGCTCCTGCATGCTGCATTGTATTCCATTGTGTAAATGTATCACAATTTATCAATCTATTCATTTGTGGTTGGACATTTGGTAATACCATCTCAGACAAGAGTCTTACAACGAAAGTTTACAGAATATTCCTGGGCCTCCACAAGAAAAAAAACCCACTGATAACCCAATTTACAAAATGGGCAAAAGGCATGGAAAGAATTTTCAGAGAGGAAGATATTCGAATGGCAAACAGACACATGAAGAAATGCTGCAAATCACTAACAATAAGAGATGACAATCAAAACCACAATGAGGTAACATCTCACTCCAGTAATAGTGACAAAGTTTACCAGGGCAGCAAGTGGCAGCAAGTAATAAATGTTGGAGAGGATGTGGTGAGAAAGAAACTCTTATACATCGTTTATGGGATTGTTCAACCATTCTGAAAGGCAGTTTGGTGCTTACTCAAAAAGCTGAACATAGAAATTCAATATAGTGCTCGCTTCGGCAGCACATATACTAAAATTGGAACGATACAGAGAAGATTAGCATGGCCCCTGCGCAAGGATGACACGCAAATTCGTGAAGCGTTCCATATTTTCGACCCTGAAATGAACCAGTCTGTAACGAAGGCTAACTCCTAACTCCTTTCACCTAAAAATTTCGTCTTTGGATACAAAGCTAAGTGGATAGTCCTTACGGAGGGACTGTCTAAAAAAAAAAAAAAAATAGGCAGGGAGAAGAAAAGAAGGGGGGGGGGAAAAGAAATTCAATATAACCCAGCTATTCCACTACTTGGAATATACCCTGAGAAAATGAGAACTGAGCCACAAACTGAGATTTGTAAACCAATGTTGACAGCAGCGTTATTCACTATCACAAGAACATAGAAACTTTCCTGATTTTGAAACATGCAATGTTTCCTTCTCTGCTCTGACCACTGTCCAAATCCAAACAGGTTTTGCATGAGCACAATCAAGTGTTCTGGGATTCCCATTCTTCTTAATATTAGCATAATTTGTTATGATCCCTATGGTCAAATTGGCCACTTACTAATAATTCAATTAATGAGTCCTCTTTTAAAATTAAGATCTCATTCACATTGTTACCATCATAGTCCCAATTGAATTCAAAGGGTCTTAGCCTTTTTCACTCTGGTAATGTGAATGACAAACTCTTTTTACTTGCAGTAAGTAAAAAGAAGATAGGGGATGATGCCTGTAAAAGTGTCATTTCAATGAAAGGAATTTTTAAAATTTTTGTATTGGAAAAAATTTATATTGGTTTGTCTACAAAATTTGTATACATTGTGTTTCACAGGTTCCTTTATTAACATTGTTTCATACTGTTATTCCCAAACACTGTGCTTTAAAAGATTCTCACCATTGATCTAGTCTCACTATCTTTTCAGGTCTCACTATCTTTTCAGGTCTCCTAAAAGAGCTATCCTAATTCCTTCATCTCCTCCCTCCACCTACCACACTCTGTGACCCCATGATTTTCTCCCTCCCCGACCTTAGGCCTCCTCTCCCTTCTCCTTCCCCCTTTAGACTTTTATCTACATCTTACTTATTATCCTTCTATTTTTACAATAATGGTCTTTTGAGAAATTGTGGTACATCCACACGATGGAATATTATGCAGCAATCAAGAGTAATAATTCAAAAGTACTATATAATATGGGAGAGTCTAGAGAGTATTATATGCTGCATGAACTAATTCAGTCTCGTAAGGACAAATACTGAATAAGAAAGGAAGTTTTGAGGGAACTCTGGTGGCTTAGAGGTAAGGAGTTGAGCTACCAATCCGAAGGTACACAGTTCAAGGTTTAAACCCAGCTGCTCCTCAGGAGAGATGAGTGCATCTCCCATGCAATTGACTACCCCTGGAAACCTCGCTGGAGGGTCAGCTATGAGTGGTTTCAGACACCATCTCTGTCCCTTGGAGCAGCTAGAGCATTTGAACCTCATGTCTTTGAGTATATAACAACGTTTGTGAGTTAGGTTAGGGACAGGAGGAAAGGTTCTTGCTTATTTAGCATGTTTAGCAAAGAAAGGTGAAGTATCTTAGAAAAGGAAGTATTATGCATACAAGGAAATATTATGCAAATAAGCAACTAATTTCACATGGAGTCTTTCTGCTTAGTACTCTTATCATATGCCCTGTGGGCTTCCTCTTCATGGCTGCTTCCTCTGGATGATCACATAGCTGTAACTTGTTTTGCTTCTGCGTATGAAAGCTATTGTGGGTTACTGACACAGGAAGTGTTAGTGAAGTTGCAGATCTTAGGGAAGGAACACTTAGGTTAGATTGTGAGGCTGTACTCCTTGATCTGAACTATCATAGGGGAAAATATTTGGCTACAGTAAGGAGAAAAAGGCCCTTTTAATTCAGCACACCAAGTAAAGAGGAGAGGAAAGCAGAAAAAAGTTTACCATTAGAGTACACTTAGCAGAACCTACTTTTTCTTCCTATTCACAATTCATAAACTTGTTGCTACTGAGTCATAACAGACTCATCGCTGACCCTCCAGCAGGTTTTCAAAAGCTGTAAATTGCACTGAAGGAGATTGCCCATCTCAGTTCCTCAGAGCAGATACTGGATATGAACTGCGTGTCTTTGGGTGGGGAGTGCAACTCCTCACCCACTAGACCAGTGTTTTTGTTACGTGTTGTCAAGTCCAGTATAGAGCTAGCAGCCTAATGAATAACAGACCTGAGCCCTGTCCTATCCTGTGCCATCCTTACAACTCTGACACACTTAAGCCCATTGTTGAAGTCACTGTGTCAATCTGCTTGGCTGAAGGTCTTCCTCTCTTTCACCGTCCCTCCACTTTCCCATGCATGATGTCCATCTCCAATGAATAGCCTCACTTAACAACATGCCTAGAGTACGTGAGATGAGGCTTCATCATCTTTGCTTCCAGGGAGTACTCTGGTTGCATCTTCTCCAAGATAGATCTTTTTGGCCTTTTGAATGGAGCTCTGGTGGCCTCCTAATAGGATTGTGTGCTGCAATTCCAAATGCAAACAATACAAATTCACCAGCTGCTCCACAGGAGAAGGGTGAACAGTCTCCTCCGGTGTGATTTATTGCCTCTGACAACCTTCTGGAGGATCAGTTAAGAGTTGGTTCTGACTGGCTGGCACACAACACCACTAGACTACAGATCGCTATACCCTGTTAACTATTGCTGTTATGTACCCTCAGGCCAACTGCAACTCATAAAGACTATATGAACAAAGAATACAAACGTTGCCCTGTCTTGTACCATCCTCACCATCTAAAAATTATTTCATGCTTTATTTGGGACTTTTTAAATTAACGGTACTTATTTTTTAAACTTTTGAGAGAAAGTTTACAAATCATATTGGTTCATCATTTAATCATGTATTTACATTTTGTTTTATAACACTATAATGTAAAAAATTAGTCTATGTTTTCTTTCTTTTTCTCAATTCATAGGAGACACTTAACTATTATCCTGTTGAATTTCTTATCAGGAAATTCCAGTAGGGTTTTTTTCCTCTGAAAGGTTTTCTGGTTCTTTATTTTGGCCACTTTTTTTGTGCCACCTTATCTAGGTGTTTTAACAGTTTGAAATTATTTGGTGCTTCTGAGCAACAATTTTGTATTATTTTATTTTTTTAAATTTTTTTATTTTTGTGTGAGTGTACCGTCAAATCAGATCTGACTGGCACAGGAGGAGATTGTCCCTCCTTTCCCGGCAGAGCATCTGGTGGATTTGAACCGTGCGCCTCTGGGATTGTAGTTGCAGCTCCTTTCCACTAGGCCACCAGAGCTCCCCTGTATTATTTTATTTTTATATATGCGATTGACGGTATACCAATTGACATGTCTCAACTAGCAGATGCTGTCCTAGATGTGTTCACCAAATTGTGTCAAGAAATCTGGAGGACAGCCAGTTGGCCAACTGACTGGAAGAGATCTATATTTGTTCCCATTTCAAAGAAAGATGATCCAACAGAGTGAGGAAATTATTGAACAATATCATTAATATAAAATGCAAGCAAGA